TTATCGTTAATTTTTTGTGTATGATTTATATATGTCAAATCTAAATTGAATGATGTTGTGTTAATAAAAGAGATGCCTTTGCCTTAGGCTTTCTAATTTTATTTTTGTGTTCATGATTCATGATTTGAGTGTTGTAATAATGTTAGATTATTGCAAAAGAAAAACGTTGGATTGCAATGCTTCAAAACTTTAATTTCCAATAACGTTTCAATTCATTTTATTAAGTGTCCCAAGGGTAAAATATTTAATGGGTTTATTTTATATTTTTTGTAGAGATCCTTGCTAGTTCTGAGATCCTCAGAGATATTCTGAAAAGTTCGTGTTGTATCTCTACACGCATCAGGAAATACTGTTCGTGATTTTGTCAGCACTTTTATACAACAATCTTAAGGACTTACACATCAGTTACGGTCCAAAATTAAAAAGGTATGGGAAGCTACCCGTCTCTTTCGTTGTTTGATGGTTGTTATTTGAAAATGGCTACGTTTTTCTATGGTTTTTCCTATGCTGTATGATTCAGGAATTGAAATTGTACTCTTTGAATGCTTGTGGGGATGTTCAAATGACGAGTATGAATTAATGAAACATATCTGTTTTGATATAAGTTGGTACGCAACCCATGTGAATTTGAGTTAGATGCCATGTGAATTTTAGTTAGGTGATTGAGAATTGATATGATTATTGTGTTGGTTTGCTACACTGGGCTAACGTAAATTTCAAAAACAAAAAAAAAAACCTTGATGTTTTAGTATAAAAATGCTTCATAAAACACTGTTGTTTTGCAACTTTATTGGACTGTTTTGAGACGGTAGAATAGATAGCTGGTGGTAAATTTAAAGTAACATGAAATAGAATAAAATGGATACAGAGGTAGTGTGCTGAATGCTAATGATATTTCTGATTTATGTTATTTTGGTGGCTGTTTTAAGTGTAAAATTACATTTTCAAGAGTTATTAAAAATTAAAAGAATGGGTGTCATCTTTGGCCGATGTAGTTGGATGGATGAATGGGTGTTATTGTTATGTACATATACGAGTATATAATTTAAGTAGATAATTCTGATATTAATTTGAATTAGTTTAAAATGCTTATGGCTTCACGTTCATGCTAGAAGGTGACGTTGATTAGTATATGATTATTATTCATATTCATATATTAGTTTATATAACATGTTCAAAATGTCCGTAAAGATAGTTTTTTTTAAATGGTGGAAATTGGTTATTTATGTTAAAATTTATATTACTGTTGCGCAAATATTATGTGATAAAAATTGTTGAACATACTTATGTGAACTACTTGGTTGTTATAGTGTCCAGATTATGGTTAAGGCATATTTTAAATTTGTATAATATTATTTGAATGACTAAATGTAGTCCAATTTGGTTTGAGTGTGTTAATGGAATAGTTGTTGGATTTTATATATATATATATATATATATATATATATATATATATATATATATATATATATATATATATATACACACCTGGTTGTCCAAATATAAATCTTGGAATGGGTACATGTGAGTTATGAATTGATGTGGTAGAAAGTAGAGAATATGTCATTTCATGTGTAAAATGAAAGACATGAGTGAAGCCAATGTGTTTTTAGATATTAGAATCATAAAGAAGGAAGATAGTATATTACTATCCCAAGAACAATATATTGAGGAATTTCTTAAGAAGTTTAGGTTTTAGTGAGTACCCCTTATGATGCTAATTCTAAATTAATAAAAAATAAAGGAGAATCATTGTCTCAGCCTCAGTATGCCCAGATAATTGGAAGCTTATTGCACTTGATGAGCTTTTCTAGACCTGATATTGCTTATGCAGTAGGTAGACTGAGTAGGTACACTAAATATCCAAATCAAGAACATTTGAATGTACTTGCTAGGCTTATGCGATATTTAAGAGGTTCAATGGATTATGCAATTAAATATAGTGGATTTCCCACTGTACTAGAAGAGTACAGTGATGCTAACTGGATCTCTGATTCAGATGAGAATATCCACTAGTGGTTATGTATTCACACTTGGGGTGGTGCGATTACATGGAGATTAGCCAGACAAACAATTATTGCAAGATCAACAATGGAATTTGAGTTTGTCGCTCTTGAGATGACTGATAGTGAGGCTGAGTGGTTGAAAAACTTCTTAGCGAGAATTCCATTAGGAATGAAACCAACCCCATCGGTATCAATACACTGTGATTGCCAATCGGCAATAATTATAACTAAAAACAAGAATTACAATGAAAATAATATAGACACAATTTGGTGAAGCAGTTGCTAAAGAACTATTTTCATTGACTATGTGAAGTCAAAACGGAATCTAGTAGATCCTTTGACAAAAACCCTAGGAAGACAAATGATATTAGAAACATCAAGGGGAATGAGACTTAAGCCACCAGCAAACAAACAAGTGGTGGTAACCCAACCTTTGTGATTGAAGATCCCATGAATAAGGTTTATATGGGTAAAAACAAGTCACTTGTTAGTTCTGATAGCACTAAATTGATTTTAATCAATTATGTCCCTTCCTATGGTGTGTGTGAAAGTGCTAGAGACTACAATATTGAGAGGTTAAACTTTGTCGTTAAAATTCTATGTGGTGAAAGAATTTTAGCTTAAACAAAGTTTTTAATGATTTTTCATATCTCTTACGGGTGGTGTATGATTTGCAGCATACACTTGATGAAATCACCTATATGAGTGTCGAGTGGGGCCGCTTGCATGTGATCTTGGCATGATCTCTAGAGCACTCATGAATACCGGGCTCGTGCATGGCCTATTAAGCGCAACACAGCGATAACAACAAAGATTGTGGGAGTGTATTGTGATTGATAAACTTCTAACACACGTCAAGTGTCTTTGGTTCATAAAGCTTGCTATATCAACTACTAAGTATTTCAATCTAAGACTGGTTCATATAACTTGTTATACCAGGTCAGATGCATTACATCCTATGAGACCCAGAATAAAAGTTTCTTATCTTTTTCTTTTGCAATAAGTGGGGGATTGTTGTAATAATGTTAGATTTTTGCAAAAGAAAAACGTTGGATTACAACGTTCAAAACTTTAATTGCCAATAACGTTTTAAACTTTAATTGCCAATAACGTTTTAAACTTTAATTGCCAATAACGTTTAAATTCATTAACGGTAAAATATTTAATGGCTTTTATTGTCTTTTATTGATTTTATTCTTTCCTAACTCTATAAATAGAGAGCTTTTCCCATTCCAAAAACACCCAAGTCAGTCTTTTCTGATTCTACTTTCTTCTTTTCCTCTTCTAAAATTATTTTGGGTTTATTTTATAATCTTCTTTGCTAGTTCTGAGATCCTCAGAGATATTCTGAGAAGTTCCTGTTGTAGGACTTGCGCAATACACCATGAATAAGTCCTTAAGGATAATGACTCTATACGCCTCAGGAAATACTGCTCGTGATTTTGTCGATATATTTTATAACATTGAGTCATGGTTGGATTACTCAAGAATTTCATAATCCTCTTCGAGTGACCTCCATACATTGAGAGCTTCTAAGTAAGCTTCCATCCATGCTGCCCAAATTTGATAAAACTTAAATCTTATTTCATGCTTTTTAGATTTTTCTTGACAGGTCGCTCGACAATGTCACAGCAATCTTTAGTAATTTTTCTATAAGACTCAACAAGTATTACTTATTCATTACATAAAATAAAATAAAAAAAACATTAAAAACTTTTAAAAAGTTAGAAAACCTTAACTGTCCACGTAACATAACTATTCACTCCTATAATTAAGACAGGATCAGCAACACCTAAAAAAAACTACTTACTAAAATCTGAGACAACACCGACACCAAAAAATAAACTACCGCGGTCTTGTCCTTTGCCAAAAGAACAACAGACAAGGGACTGTCTTTCGTTTTGGCATTCAAGAACCGATGTTCTTGCACATGCTTTTTTGTCTTTTATTACTCTAGTGAGAAAATCACCAACCTAGTTTTGCTGTGGAAAAGTCTTCGGTAGCTTTGTTTTGCTTTCTCCATTGCCAGTTTCACATCAAATAAATGCACTCCAATAATTGCATGGAAAATACGACTAGGTAGACTTTGACTCTTTCTGAATGAGTATAGATATTTTTCTTAACAAAGACTTCAAAAATAATATGTATATTTCTTATAAATTTAATTTATGTCAAAATAGTTTTAATTTATAATTGTTTATATTTTTATAAATGTCTATAAAGAAGTTTATTTAAAATTATATTTATATTTATTATTATTTTTTATTTAAATTCTTTCCCCTTCGATCTTTTTTTTTCTGGATCTTTTCCAAAGTATCTGAAACCGCAGCTTGATCTCTCATGGTCTAAAATGATAAATCTATTTTTTTCTTCTATTAAATAGCTAAATATTCAATTTTGTTTTTTTTGTATATTTTTCATTTTTAAATTGTCACTTTTCTTTTCTCATCAACATGAAATATGACTACAAGAGTGCATCATAAGCGGTCTTCCATTATTCCTACAAATAATACAAAGTCATTTTGCTTCACTTTACTTTCATGCCAGAAAATACAATGAAACTACTTTCTCTCTCAAATTGCCGACACAAATATTCCATGTTTTATCTACCTTGAAACTTTATCATCTGTAACTCATCCGAACTTCTTTTCAGCTATTCTCAATTTGGTACTGAATCAGCATGAAGACAAATACTCCTTGTTCCTAATTCTGTAGTGAATAAGCATGAAGAAGATCACTCCTTCTCAATTTCTCTTCCTTTCACTCCTTCTGCTATGCTTCACATCCCTTGCTTTTGGACAAAATATCACTCACCCAGACGAAGGTACGAAATGTGTGTGTGTATATATATATATATATGTAGAAAGTTATTTGGTGATAGCCCTTTGAAATTTGGTTATTTATAGTGAAAGCTCTGAAAGATATCGGCAACATACTTGGTAATAAGAACTGGGACACAAATATAGATCCATGCAGTAATAAACCTCCCTGGAATGTAAGTATTGACAAAGACAAAGCCAACTATGTCAGATGCAACTGTTCTATCTCCATTGACGGCTTTTGTCATGTTGTTTCAATGTAAGTTTCTTTGTTTAAGGTATTCCCTTTCCTGTCAAATTTTGAAATATTTTCACCAACTCTGATCTTTTAGACCAACTATGAAACTATATCTGAAATGGTTTACGTAATTATTTGTATTGAAAATTTCTTCTATTTTCTTTAAAAAAATTATAATAGTTTTTTCAATAATATTTTTATGTAATGACATATCAGTAAGGTTTAGAATCATAGTGCTTTGTTTAACATGAGTTTTGAAAAAAAAAAGAACTCTTTTATACTGAATATGATCACCCTTGATGAAAAAAAACATAATTTCTCATACATTTTCTAATTATTTTCATTTTTTATGTTGTATAAATAATCGTAGAAGGCTGAAAGCACAAAATCTTACGGGCACGCTCCCACCTGAATTGACAGGGCTACCTTACCTTGAAGAAATGTAAGTAACAATCAATTTTTCTTAAGAACAATAAATTACTTTCTTTTGATTTTGTTTATTTTGACAGTGACCTCACTCGCAATTATATTAATGGCACAATACCTGTTGGATGGGGCTCCTCTAAACTTCGCATTATGTATTTTCTTTTTCTCTGCTTTTCTGCTTTTAATATATAATTTACAAATATTGTTTTTTCTTCTGAAAACATTTATCTAATTCATGTCTTCCAATTTCATGGTAGTTGTTTTCTTGGAAATCGACTAACTGGTCCCATCCCTAAAGAGATTGGAAACATCATAACCCTCGAAAGTTTGTGAGTTTTTTACTATCCAATAATAGATCATACATTTTCTCTTTCCAACTTTTGAATTTTTATTGTTCATTATAACTTACTACCACTGAATATAGGGTCCTTGAATTCAATCAGTTCACTGGAAATATTACACCGGATCTTGGAAACCTTTCTCACCTTCAAAGATTGTAAGCCTATCCAAAATCAAATTTCATTACGTTTGATGTTTTTATGTATAATGTACACAAGTGTATATGATTAATAAATATTGTAACTTTTAAGATGTTTGTGATAAAAATTAATAAATAGTTAATTATCCAAGAATGATGTTATGAACAAATTCATTAATGCATTTATATTGTTCCAACAGGCATCTTACTTCTAACAACTTAACTGGAGAACTTCCTCAGACTTTGGCTAAGCTTACATCATTGAGAGAGCTGTAATTTTTCATTTTATTGCCATTAGTTAATTTGAATTTTGTTGCTTTTTTAGCCACTTTGAATTTTATTTAATTTTCAATTTCCATTGTTAACATGCAGCCGTCTTAATGACAATAACTTCTCTGGAAGGATACCCAGTTTTATTCAAAGATNCTAAAAACAAGAATTACAATGAAAATAATATAGACACAATTTGGTGAAGCAGTTGCTAAAGAACTATTTTCATTGACTATGTGAAGTCAGAACAGAATCTAGTAGATCCTCTGACAAAAACCCTAGGAAGACAAATGATATTAGAAACATCAAGGGGAATGAGACTTAAGCCACTAGCAAACAAACAAGTGATGGTAACCCAACCTTTGTGATTGAAGATCCCATGAATAAGGTTCATATGGGTAAAAACAAGTCACTTGTTAGTTCTGATAGTACTAAATTGATTTTAATCAATTATGTCCCTTCCTATGGTGTGTGTGAAAGTGCTAGAGACTGCAATATTGAGAGGTTAAACTTTGTCGTTAAAATTCTATGTGGTGAAAGAATTTTAGCTTAAACAAAGTTTTTAATGATTTTTCATATCCCTTACGGGTGGTATATGATTTGCAGCATACACTTGATGAAATCACCTATATGAGTGTCGAGTGAGGCCGCTTGCATGTGATCTTGGCATGATCTCTAGAGCACTCATGAATACCGGGCACGTGCATGGCCTATTAAGCGCAACACAGCGATAACAACAAGGATTATGGGAGAGTATTGTGATTGATAAACCTTTAACACACGTCAAGTGTCTTTGGTTCATATAGCTTGTTATATCAACTACATTGTGTGTTAAGTATTTCAAACTAAGACTGGTTCATATAACTTGTTATATCAGGTCAGATGCATTACATCCTATGAGACCCAGAATAAAAGTTTCTTATCTTTTTCTTTTACAATAAGTGGGGAATTGTTGTAATAATGTTAGATTTTTGCAAAAAAAAAAACGTTGGATTACAACGTTCAAAACTTTAATTGCCAATAACGTTTTAAACTTTAATTGCCAATAACGTTTAAATTCATTAACGGTAAAATATTTAAGGGCTCTTTTATTGATTTTATTCTTTCCTAACTCTATAAATAGAGAGCTTTTCCCCATTCCAAAAACACTCAAGTCAGTCTTTTCTGATTCTACTTTCTTCTTTTCATCTTCTAAAATTATTCTGGGTTTATTTTATACTCTTTGTAGAGATCTTTGCTAGTTCTGAGATCCTCAGAGATATTCTGAGAAGTTCCTGTTGTAGGACTTGCGCAATACACCATGAATAAGTCCTTAAGGATAATGACTCTATACGCCTCAGGAAATACTGCTCGTGATTTTGTCGATATATTTTATAACATTGAGTCATGGTTGGATTACTTAAGAATTTCATAATCCTCTTCGAGTGACCTCCATACATTGAGAGCTTCTAAGTAAGCTTCCATCCATGCTGCCCAAATTTGATAAAACTTAAATCTTATTTCATGCTTTTTAGATTTTTCTGACAGGTCGCTCGACAATGTCACAGCAATCTTTAGTAATTTTTCTATAAGACTCAACAAGTATTACTTATTTATTACATAAAATAAAATAAAAAAAACATTAAAAAATTTTAAAAAGTTAGAAAACCTTAACTGTCCACGTAACATAACTATTCACTCCTATAATTAAGACAGGATCAGCAACACCTAAAAAAAACTACTTACTAAAATCTGAGACAACACCGACACCAAAAAATAAACTACCGCGGTCTTGTCCTTTGCCAAAAGAACAACAGACAAGGGACTGTCTTTCGTTTTGGCATTCAAGAACCGATGTTCTTGCACATGCTTTTTTGTCTTTTATTACTCTAGTGAGAAAATCACCAACCTAGTTTTGCTGTGGAAAAGTCTTCGGTAGCTTTGTTTTGCTTTCTCCATTGCCAGTTTCACATCAAATAAATGCACTCCAATAATTGCATGGAAAATACGACTAGGTAGACTTTGACTCTTTCTGAATGAGTATAGATATTTTTCTTAACAAAGACTTCAAAAATAATATGTATATTTCTTATAAATTTAATTTATGTCAAAATAGTTTTAATTTATAATTGTTTATATTTTTATAAATGTCTATAAAGAAGTTTATTTAAAATTATATTTATATTTATTATTATTTTTTATTTAAATTCTTTCCCCTTCGATCTTTTTTTTTCTGGATCTTTTCCAAAGTATCTGAAACCGCAGCTTGATCTCTCATGGTCTAAAATGATAAATCTATTTTTTTCTTCTATTAAATAGCTAAATATTCAATTTTGTTTTTTTTGTATATTTTTCATTTTTAAATTGTCACTTTTCTTTTCTCATCAACATGAAATATGACTACAAGAGTGCATCATAAGCGGTCTTCCATTATTCCTACAAATAATACAAAGTCATTTTGCTTCACTTTACTTTCATGCCAGAAAATACAATGAAACTACTTTCTCTCTCAAATTGCCGACACAAATATTCCATGTTTTATCTACCTTGAAACTTTATCATCTGTAACTCATCCGAACTTCTTTTCAGCTATTCTCAATTTGGTACTGAATCAGCATGAAGACAAATACTCCTTGTTCCTAATTCTGTAGTGAATAAGCATGAAGAAGATCACTCCTTCTCAATTTCTCTTCCTTTCACTCCTTCTGCTATGCTTCACATCCCTTGCTTTTGGACAAAATATCACTCACCCAGACGAAGGTACGAAATGTGTGTGTGTATATATATATATATATGTAGAAAGTTATTTGGTGATAGCCCTTTGAAATTTGGTTATTTATAGTGAAAGCTCTGAAAGATATCGGCAACATACTTGGTAATAAGAACTGGGACACAAATATAGATCCATGCAGTAATAAACCTCCCTGGAATGTAAGTATTGACAAAGACAAAGCCAACTATGTCAGATGCAACTGTTCTATCTCCATTGACGGCTTTTGTCATGTTGTTTCAATGTAAGTTTCTTTGTTTAAGGTATTCCCTTTCCTGTCAAATTTTGAAATATTTTCACCAACTCTGATCTTTTAGACCAACTATGAAACTATATCTGAAATGGTTTTCGTAATTATTTGTATTGAAAATTTCTTCTATTTTCTTTAAAAAAATTATAATAGTTTTTTCAATAATATTTTTATGTAATGACATATCAGTAAGGTTTAGAATCATAGTGCTTTGTTTAACATGAGTTTTGAAAAAAAAAAGAACTCTTTTATACTGAATATGATCACCCTTGATGAAAAAAAACATAATTTCTCATACATTTTCTAATTATTTTCATTTTTTATGTTGTATAAATAATCGTAGAAGGCTGAAAGCACAAAATCTTACGGGCACGCTCCCACCTGAATTGACAGGGCTACCTTACCTTGAAGAAATGTACGTAACAATCAATTTTTCTTAAGAACAATAAATTACTTTCTTTTGATTTTGTTTATTTTGACAGTGACCTCACTCGCAATTATATTAATGGCACAATACCTGTTGGATGGGGCTCCTCTAAACTTCGCATTATGTATTTTCTTTTTCTCTGCTTTTCTGCTTTTAATATATAATTTACAAATATTGTTTTTTCTTCTGAAAACATTTATCTAATTCATGTCTTCCAATTTCATGGTAGTTGTTTTCTTGGAAATCGACTAACTGGTCCCATCCCTAAAGAGATTGGAAACATCATAACCCTCGAAAGTTTGTGAGTTTTTTACTATCCAATAATAGATCATACATTTTCTCTTTCCAACTTTTGAATTTTTATTGTTCATTATAACTTACTACCACTGAATATAGGGTCCTTGAATTCAATCAGTTCACTGGAAATATTACACCGGATCTTGGAAACCTTTCTCACCTTCAAAGATTGTAAGCCTATCCAAAATCAAATTTCATTACGTTTGATGTTTTTATGTATAATGTACACAAGTGTATATGATTAATAAATATTGTAACTTTTAAGATGTTTGTGATAAAAATTAATAAATAGTTAATTATCCAAGAATGATGTTATGAACAAATTCATTAATGCATTTATATTGTTCCAACAGGCATCTTACTTCTAACAACTTCACTGGAGAACTTCCTCAGACTTTGGCTAAGCTTACATCATTGAGAGAGCTGTAATTTTTCATTTTATTGCCATTAGTTAATTTGAATTTTGTTGCTTTTTTAGCCACTTTGAATTTTATTTAATTTTCAATTTCCATTGTTAACATGCAGCCGTCTTAATGACAATAACTTCTCTGGAAGGATACCCAGTTTTATTCAAAGATGGACAAATCTTGAAATATTGTAAGAACGATTTGATGTTTGAATTAAAATGTAATGTTTGTTATATTTTAATTAATATTTGTTTAATTGTATATTTATTGTACAGAGAAATTCAAGGTAGTGGTTTAAGTGGGCCAATTCCTTCTGAAATTTCATTTCTGCAAAACTTAAATGATTTGTAAGTACAATGATTCATAAAGTAATCATGATTTAATATTGTCAAACCATTTTCTTATTTTCATCAAAATATTGAATGCAGGAGAATTACTGACTTGATTAATGGATCGGATTCTACTTTCCCACAAATTAATAATATAACAAAGTTGGAAACACTGTGAGTGAGTTAATTAATTTCTTTCATTACTATTAATATTAATTTTTTGCCATTGCCGTACGAGATTGATTTATAAGGTGTACACGTTTAAATGAAAAAGTCACAAAATTTGATATTGCTTCGTAGGATACTAAGGAACTGCCAAATTAGCGACGAATTACCTCCGTATCTTGGGAACATGACAGGCATTGAAACATTGTGAGTGTTTTTTCATGCGATCTATTTCCAATATGAACTCTTCAATGCAATTTTCTAGTATTAATTTATATGTTAAAATATTAGCTATTTATTTGAAACAGTCTTTCGGAAAATTAACATATCAAAGTAATTGAAAATAAATAGTTGAGCAAAGTTAGCTCCGAGAATAGTTTATTTAATCTTTCATCAGATTTTATTGTTATTATATTCGTATCTTAATGTTCACCAAAAAGGTATCTTAATGTTTTATTATTTCTTGTGTTTAGCATTTAATAACGTATTTTTGGATGATATTTTTCTTTCAGAGACCTAAGCTTTAACAAATTACGCGGAAAGATTCCAGAGAACGTTGGAAGCTTATCAAAACTGTCACACGTGTAAGTTAATTTTATTAGTCGCTATTTGGTGTGGAAAAATATATTTTTATTTATTGTATAGGGTTAAATATTTTTTTTTTTGCAATGGCTATACTTTTGTGATGTTTCATAAGTTTTTCTTTTATCTTTTCCTAAACCTAATAATTGTGTTTATTATTTTCCCTAAAATACTATCTAAAAACTTTATTTTACTGTTTAAATACTACATAAACTATTTTTGAGATTGAAAAAAAAAACTATCGAGATAGAATTTCATGAGCAAAATTGAAATTTATTGGATGACATTGCTTCGAATTTATTTTGTTTCTTTGGTTTGACATTTGTGTAATTAGCTAGTATGTTTTATCTATTGAGTTCTACTATGTTGGTGGTTTAAATGTATATATGTAATTTGCCAATAAGGATATAGATCTAAAATTTCGGGATTAAATATATTTTTCATGATACTCAATGTTGTATAAGTTCTCATATATGTTTGTTTCATTTTTTTTTCTTTTAAAAGAAATACCTCCAAATTTATTTAATTTTTTCAGTGGTTAGATTAGTGATGATTAGCATTTGACTTGTACATAATTCAGTTTTAAAATTGTTTCTTAGATATTTCACTGGAAACCAACTTACTGGACCCCTACCTATGTGGGTAGCTGGAGGACGTAAATCTATGTGAGTTATTTTTCAAATCCTAATTTATGCTTTCTTCGTTTAAACAGTTTAGACATTCTTTGTTATTTAGATTGAATATATTACTCTTAATTGTTTTTAAGATAATCATACGAATGAGTTCTTCTTAAAATTTGTTCATGTTCTTTAAATTATATTCATTTATTGGTGAAGATAATCTATTCATCGTCACATTATAAGTTTGTGTATTAATTTTTTTATGCCAAGTTCTTATTATATCATAGATGAAGAGATGATTATACATGTTGTTCAAGTCCAAAGGTATTTGATTAAAACAATGAATATAAGGATAAAAATATGTTTTGTTCACAAAAGTTGTATGTTCTTGAACATATTGCAAGAACTCATAAACTTATATATTTTTCATACTCTTCATTGATGGGATGTTCATTTATCCAGTTTTGATTCGTACTATGTTCATAACAAACTACATCAATCTCAATCGGAAACTAAGTTTCACTTAGGGTTTAACTATCATTTCATCGAATAACTTAAACGGTTGACATTTAATGAGTCCATTATACTAACTTCTTGCTCAATTTTTTATTAATTTGAATAATAAACGTTAGACCTCTTACCATCAATGTCTAATTGATATAGATATGCAGTTAAACATCCTTTCGGCTCAGGTTTTTAATGACTCAACAACTTTAGATGTATGTTCTTTGATTGGCCAACATCTATTTCCTTTTAGATGTCGGCCTAGAGATCCATCAATGTCCAAAATTTAGTTATGATGTCGGAAATGAGGTTGTCGATGACATGATTTTATTTACAAAAATGTCATCGGTTATTTTAAATGTTAGATTGTTTTGGGGTTTGACATTAAACATGTGATGTTGAAAGTGGATTTTGCACTAGTGGTTATAATGATCTAAGTGATCACCATGATGAACTATTATGACTTAATAAGTCTAATTCACATGAAAAGTTTGACATTACTTTGTTGAATACAGTGAAAACTATGTAGTAGTTTAATATTTCTTGTGTTGAATATACACATAGGGACATCTATTTATAATAGAAGAAATATAGACTAAGTCCAAAATACAAATAACAAATAATAACAAACTAAAAGATAAAAAATAAATATAATATATCTAACATCTTTTAATTTAAAATCTTAATGTAATGAGTTTATGAGACTTTTCTTTCATACTATTTAACTTTGATATTTCTATTTGATGTGAGATTTAAAAATACAATATTGAATTATTTTCAATAATATTCTAATTAATATTTTTTTTCAAAAGAAAGATATTAATTGAGCCAATCATATCTTTGTGCCACTTTTTTCTATTATCTTGTTATATTACTTTTCAGTGACCGATAAGAGAGGATTGGCGTTATAAACAGCCATTTGCTGAATCTGTAGCATATAAACATTTCTTCCTTTACTACTGTTTGAATAGAGTCATATTTTATACATACATCAAAGAATGCATTTCTTCCAATTTGCAAGACTCCGATTGGTTTTATCTTTGTTTCTGAATTGCACTTTACATGTATTTATAGAGATCTAGATCTTTCATACAACAACTTCACTGATAAAAACTCCTCCGTGGCATGTCAAGAGAATAAAGAAGTGTAAGAACTCAAATAATTTATTTCTTTTTTATCTCCAAATTTATCAAGATATGTGTATTAATGTTAATAATATCTTTTATGCTACAGGAACTGGTTTGCAAGCTTCCCAATGAGCCAAAAGTAAGTAATATATATTATTTTTTTTCTTTGGGTAAGGTTTGGGAATTTGGAAACCATTAAAGTTGGTTTAAAATGCACTCCATGTCTAGAAAAACAAAATTAATACTTTTTCTTAAATCAGTCCGAAAAGTGGCTAAAAGTTTGGTTGATTGTTTCTGCTAACTCGTTTTCGGTCTTCTCTTAATATTCCTACAGTGGACCTGTTACATGTCTGACTAGTGCAAACTGTACAAGACGTAAGTTCGAATATTTTCTTCAAGCTAAGTTACTATTAAACAATTACACATGTCATTTATATATATATATATATATATATATATATATATATATGACCTAACAAGCTCTTCAATCTATACCATTGACAAGTCTTTAGATTTCATGATAATTCTCCGTTTCTGTTGAGTTGATTCACCATTGTTTCAATTCGAGATATATACTTGATTACTCTTTACTCTTTACCTTTTTCATGCTCATGCTCTCCAATTCTTCCTTGGAATTTTGATACTGAACCTACTTTACACAATCATTTTTCTTATACGTTTTTTCCACAATGTCTCATGCTTCTTAAAGATTTAACATTTACTATCTTTTCAAAGCCGACTCATTCACTACTTGGTATAGGACAAAGATGTCTTATCCTTTACATGCGCATCTTTTAATGATTTTATCTGGACATTCGATCAATTCATGATGTTGACTGGTTCTTGAAAACCATCTTCAACCACTTCTCAATTTTTTTGAGAGTCCAGAAGAGTCTTCATTTTCAGACTCTAATTATTATGATTGACTACCTTTGTCAACTTAGGGAGGGAGGTATTGTTTACAAGGTTGAACACCTTACTCAAACTCTTTGACTCTTTCTTCCACTTAGACACTCAAGCTAGGTGGTTCTTGATATCAATTTATTAGCAAAACACACTCTTTATATGAAAAACTTATCAACTTACATTTTGATTTTTCACCAAGTCATAATATCTCGAGAATATAACCCAAATCATAACTCAAATGATAATCTACTGATATTTTCTATCTTAAAACATCAAATATTACTACTCATAAAATTTGTTAAATATTTCGTCATTGAGGTGACACATATTACTATTAATAAAAAAGTAGTAAAAATGATCACATTTAAGTTTATCCATATTTTTAGTAATAAATCATATTACTACTAATAAAATCTCTGCTAAACATTTCCTCATTTAAGTTTACTCTAACTCAGCTAAAATTGACCTAAGCAAGCTCACTTAACAAACGATAAAAAAAAAAATTGTCTTTCCACGTTTCTGGTCTCTTTGATAATTTATTTACCAAAATTTGTTAAATTTTACTTCTCCTAAGATTATTCCTTAGAGGCATTCTCGAATAGGTGAATTGGATGTTCATCAACCTACAAATCGTGATTTAGGCAAAAGTATCCAATAGACTTCTATTAAATCTCATCTCTTCTAATTCATTTTTCACAAACCTCAAAATGAATTTAATAGCTGGAATAGTAAAAGAGAATCAAATATTCTGTTGAATATTCTATCTTAATTTTAGTTATTTACTATATTAAATTTTAAGTAATTACTGTAATAATTCATTATGAGTTTAAGATAATATTTATCCTTATTAACACAATTATTTATTATACTTTATTTTTTTATAAGTATTTTTTTATGTTACTTTTGAAACACATACATGATTAATGTAAATCACATGTTCAATACATTTTTCTACTTGGAATATTATCCAATTTCACCGTACACAAAATCAAGGTATAATCAGAAATATATATATATATATATATATATTTATTAGGTCTATCCTGACCCTTCTAGCTCCTACACTCAGCCCTTGCAACAAATTCCTTTCCAAAACCTATCTAACAAATCTAGCTCGTCCTTCTATCAAGAAAATATAATTTACCGCTCATCATAAAAATAAAATAAAAATTAAGATCTCATCTTCTTTAACACAACCCATACTTAACAATAAAATTTAAATTCCGTAAATAAAATAAAAACAAGTATTGCATTCCTAAAATCTGACTTTTTTTTTATTCTTTTGTAACAGTCTTAGACTATTTTCATATAAACTGTGGTGGTGGACAAGAGACAAGCAGTGAGGGTATAGTGTATGATGATGACTTGGATCATGCAGGGGCAGCAACATCTAAAATGCCCAGAGAAAACTGGGCATATAGCAATACCGGTCATTTCTTGGGTGGTCATAATGAACTAGAGTATATCCAGCAAAGTCAAAATACGCTTTCTATGACTGATTCTGCATTGTATCAGACTGCACGTGTATCTCCCATTTCTTTGACTTATTACGGAACGTGTCTGGAAAATGGAGAGTACACGGTATTGCTGCATTTTGCAGAGATCATGTTCACTGATGATAACACATATAGCAGTCTTGGAAGACGTATATTTGATGTTTACATTCAGGTATGATTAACACATCTAGCAGTCTTTGTAGTGCATTTGACTTCACTTGCAGAATTACTCAAAGTTTCGACTCTATATATTAAGAACTACAGAACTCAAAATCCATTAAGGTTTGGATTGAAACTATTGCAGAGAAAGCTAGAATTGAAGGATTTCAATATTGCAAATGAAGCAGGAGGAGTTGGAAAGAACATCACAAAAAGGATTTCAACTACTGTTAGTAATAACTCCTTAGAGATTCGATTCTATTGGGCTGGAAAAGGAACAACTGCTATCCCATATAGATCAGTATATGGGCCTCTTATATCAGCTATATCTGCCACTCGTGGTAACTCACTCTGTCTCTGTCACTTTATTCTTCCAATTTTGCATTTAAGGTATCAAATGACACCTATTGCTCTTCTGCAATTATCAGTAAACAGTTCCAGCAAAGGTCCACGTGACATGGCTATAGGGGTTGTAATTGGGATAGCAGTTTCTGCAATAATATTTGTCATACTTGTTGTACTTGCCTGGAGACTTCATATTGGCAAAAGAAATTCATTAACAAAAGGTAAATATCTAAAATAAAGTGACAAACTATAAATGGTGAAATATGTGTTTGTTTTGTTCTTATCTCCATAAAAATCTTTACAAGAAAATAATATACGCACAACAGTATAAAATATTTTTTTAATGTTGTTCTATATGATAAATTCTCTCATTTTGATGATAATTATTTTAAAAGTCATAGTAAACACGACTTTCAATTATCTGATAAATATAACAATTTTACACTACATATTCACTAAATTCAATTTTTGTTGTGTCATTTAGTAGTATAACTTTTTTTAATGGATAAAAGACGTTATTCCAGCTTGGTATATTTTTTGATAATTAAAACAAGAGAAAAAAATAGTATACTAACAACATAAAATAGTTTTTTTACATCTTCCAATCCCAACTATACTATTATGTGTGACAAGTGTGTTGACTTTTATAATTATTACCTTAACAAGTTAACAGTCATCTATAATTGGACTATAGGGTATCATAATTAAAGTCTTAAAATAATATTTTTTTCAACATATCAATAAAACACAACATTTTCTCAAGATGTATGATGTATCTAACTTTAGTTCTATTTTATTGACAGAGTTAAAGCATTTAAATTTGCAAGTGGGTTTGTTTACTATGCGTCAAATAAAAGTTGCAACGAATAACTTTGATATTGCTAATAAGATTGGAGAAGGAGGCTTTGGTCCTGTCTACAAGGTACCCTTCAACATATTACATAACTTCTCATAACTATTTTGATTGATCTATGAATATTATAAATAACCTATTACATAATACAGAAAACTCACAAAAAATTGTGTATTATTTTGTAATTATAGGGTACTTTATCGGATGGCACAACAATAGCAGTTAAGATGCTTTCATCAAAGTCTAAGCAAGGGAACCGTGAGTTTATAAATGAGATAGGGTTGATTTCTGCTTTGCAACACCCTTGTCTTGTCAAACTTTACGGTTGTTGTGTTGAGGGAAATCAGTTGTTGCTGGTTTACGAATATCTGGAAAACAATAGTCTTGCACATGCTTTATTTAGTAAGTATTTGTTTTCATAATAATCGTCAAATGTAGTTCTCAATTTATTGTAACTTATTTTTAATATTTAAATGACTAAATGGTATTGATGTATGAAGGAAATGAAGAATCTTGTTTGCGATTGGATTGGCCAACCAGGCACAAGATTTGTGTTGGTATAGCTAGAGGTTTGGCTTTCCTACATGAAGAATCAAGATTAAAAGTTGTTCACAGAGACATAAAGGCTACTAATGTGTTGTTAGACAAAGATCTGAATCCAAAGATATCTGATTTTGGTCTTGCAAAGCTTGATGATGAAGACAACACTCACATAAGCACAAGAATAGCTGGGACTTAGTAAGTAAATGAATCTTTCCCATGAATATTGTTTAAAAACAAAGGAAAGAAACTTTACATAGTAAAGTTGTTATGATAGTTCAAATAAAAAAATTTAAACATTATTTGATTTGAGAAATTTGATATGAATATGGATTTGAATTATGCAGTGGATATATGGCACCAGAATATGCAATGCATGGTTATTTAACTGATAAAGCAGATGTCTATAGTTTTGGAGTGGTTGCCTTGGAAATTGTAACTGGAAAGAGTAATACCATCCCGAGACCAAAGCAAGAAGCATTGCATCTTTTAGATTGGGTAACTTCTATTTTTTTGCTACTGTGAATCAAATGACACATTGCATACGTTGTGTTGCATGTGTCATTCCACTTTAGATTTGATAATTCTACATGTTATGTTACATTCAAATTGTGTCCTTTATTAATGTTGTTTGTATTTTTGAATTTTTTTTCCTGTTGTTGTATTTTCAAATGCCTTGTGTGTTGGCTTTTGTTTAATAGGCCCATTTGCTGAAAGAGAAAGGGAATCTGATGGAGCTTGTTGACAGAAGGTTAGGATCAAATTTCAATGAAAAAGAGGTTATGGTGATGATAAAAGTGTGTCTTTTGTGCACAAATGTCACTGCAAATCTTAGGCCTACCATGTCAACAGTACTTAGCATGCTTGAAGGAAAAACTGTGATTCCAGAATATATTTCAGATTCATCTGAAATAATGGATGAAAAGAAACAAGAGGCTATGAGACAATATTACTCTCAAATGGAAGAAAATGAGAACAATGAAACACATAGATATGATAGTTCATCAAAAGAAGGGCCATGGACTGCTTCTACTTCATCAGCTGCAGATTTATATCCTGTCCATACTGATTCTTCTTATTGGGAGAAAAGAAATTAGAAGGGTGTAATTTTGTTTTCACACTATTTTCGAAACCATGATTGGGATATTATATATTAATTATCTTTTTAGAATAAATAAGGTGCACAACCTAGTAAAAATAATATAAATGTTATGTAGCCTATGTCAACATAACCAATTGACAATTTTTTGAGTTGTGATCTGAATGGTGTGCAATAGATTATAAGAACACAAGCAACTATTGTTTGTACTTAAGGTCCTGAGCACAGGATAACTTTATCTAAGACAATCTTATGATTGGGAATATCGTTGAAAGGGAAGCATAATGTGAAATATGAATGTTTAAAGAAAAGCTTGAGTAAACGTGTTGATATCTTAGTAAATGCGTGACATTTGAGTAAACACATCAATATATCATAAGAGAATCTTGTTAAACGTCCTCTTGTTATACATTACTAAACAATGATCCACAAGCTCTCACTTTATCTTGCAAATAATGTGCAAAATGATGTTTTTGGAAAATGCGCTAGAAGTTATGAACGACGCTCCAAAAAAAAGATGTGCTGAGTGAAAGAACACACTCTCAAGCTTTATAGATTATAAGTTTACATCTGTAAGTAGAGAGATCCTACAAAGTCTATTAGATTAAATTGTATTGTAAACACATCCTCTCCATGAGAGTAATTATCTAAAACTTGTAAACAATCTGATTAATTGCACGTTCTGAAGAGAATTCAAACACTTGATGATTAACTCAATTGAGTTAAACGCTAGCTAGGCAGTTTATCAGGTTGACACAATGATTGTCTAGTAGAAATCAGGAGCGGATGAAACTCAACTAGACAACGTATCAGGAAGATACTGGGATTGTCTAGAGATATCAAGAGTGGTGAAGAATACTACACAACCAGGAGTGAGTGATACTCGGTTCTAGTTAGTGTAATGGTGGTTTACTGAGATTGACTAGGTGTAACCAAGAGTGTAGCGAATACTCAATTGTACTCTTGTTGAAGATTATATTAGAACCCTCTAAAAGGTCTTAGCACTAGTGGAAAAATACCTTTCTATGACGACCTATTATGACAGATAAAAATTATCCATCATAATAGGTTGACTGATGGAAGAATCGTAATAAAAGTAAGACATATTATAACGTAGTTTTGTACATCAATCATAATATGAAACACGGTGGCAAACTTATAAATAAGTTTAAGACATACTATAACGTAGTTTTGTGTATCAGTTATAATATGAAACGCGATGACAAAGGTGTGGAAATTTCTTGATGTATTATGACTGAGTTTTAAAAATCAGTCATAATATCTCTCTGCCTCTCTAATTTTTCACATTTCCCTCTCGCTATATATAATTTCACCTTCCCTCTCACTCTCGTTCCTCTCTTCCTCTCTAAACCGTGTAAGAACACTCCTCCCTACCATCACTGAACCACATCTTCATGCTCTCTACTCCTTGAGAGAATCAGAACAGCAAAACCTAATCTCATTCAAAGCACTCTCGATTTCACGTGTGCTCCTCACCGAACAACATCTTTTTGGCTACCTCGAGCGCCGCCTCAAACACCAAATTTCATCTTTCGCTAGGTTTTTCTTATCTCTCACCTTTTGACCGATTGTTTTGCCTTTTCCTTCATTTTTCACCGATTGAAATCGGTTTCTATCTATTTACACCAATTAAATCTTTGTTCCAACCTTTTCCAAATCCTTTCCTACCTCGAACTCTAGTATCTCCTCCAAACAAACCTTTGTTGTTGCATTTATGTAGGTTGTTGATGTTGGAGAGACGTTCTCGTTGTTCATGGAACTTCAAACCTTAGGTGACAGGACGCTTAATTAAGAAGCTGGCGTTTGATCATGTTGTTCATAGTATAAGGCACATGAACCAAAAGCACAAGAACGAAGCCAAAAACCGCGCGCTTCAGAATGTCTTGTTAGAATTGCTTCAGGTTTTTTTTATGATCTTTTTCTCGTCATTTGCTCTTTTTTGTTTTTTTTTTTTACTGTAAGTAGTTTAAAACACAAAATAAACTAATCCAAACACTCAAGTCTTCTAACTGGTCAGTGAATTTGTGTTTTGTAATAGAAAGAGGAGGAAGAGTCGGCCAAGAGGGCTTTTGTGACCCTATGTGAGCTTCACAGGAGAAAAGTGTGGTTTGATGAAAGAACAACAAAGGCAATTTGCACTGCTACCTTCCATCCATCGTCGAGGTTTTTCTTTTATCTGTTTTTTTGTATGTTGTGTTAGAGAATCGAAATTTTATCACATTAAGGATTATGCTTTTTTATCTCTTTCAGGATTATGATAGCAGTTTTATCATTTCTGCTTGATTACGAGAAGATTCAAGATGATGATGATAGTGATGATTCAGGCAGTGACGATGAAACAAAGGAGTCTCCTCAAGTTGTTCTCAGCAGAGAGACCCTTTATAAGGTGATGTTTAATGACAACTGTCCTATTAAGGTTAAATTTGTGTTGCACTTTTAATCAGGGTATTATATATATATATATATATATATATATATATATATTCTCCCATTCTGTTTTTTCATAACAAAAAATATTTTAATACACATAAATTTATTATATTTATTATGATGCCGAACTTGAATGGCAAATAAATAATTTTCTATGGTAATAATATTTTGAATTATTAACCATTTGCTTTATTAATTATTATTATTATTTTCCTTATACTTATGTATGAGAAATCAAGTCCAATACAAGAATACAGCCTTTACAAGTAATCATCCATTGCAAACAATATAATAATAACTATTAGGGAGCACACTATACTAATATGTACCAATGCTCTTTTTGTTTTTTTTTTTTACTGTAAGTAGTTTAAAACCCACGAAAATAAACTATACAAACACTCAAGTCTTCTAACTGGTCAGTGAATTTGTGTTTTGTAATAGAAAAGAGGAGGAAGAGTCGGGGCCAGAGAGGTGGACCGTTTTGTGGCACCACATATAGTGGAGCTGTCACCAGGGAGAAGACACGTGGTGGCTGTTTCGATGAGACTGCAGGGACGCACGGCGCGCTACCGACGCAAGCGCACCCTAATGGGATACATCTTGGTGACGACTCTGCTACCTTCCATCCATCGTCGAGGTTTTTCTTTTATCTGTTTTTTTGTATGTTGTGTTAGAGAATCGAAATTTTATCACATTAAGGATTATGCCTTTTTTATCTCTTTCAGGATTATGATAGCAGTTTTATCATTTCTGCTTGATTACGAGAAGATTCAAGATGATGATGATAGTGATGATTCAGGCAGTGACGATGAAACAAAGGAGTCTCCTCAAGTTGTTCTCAGCAGAGAGACCCTTTATAAGGTGATGTTTAATGACAACTGTCCTATTAAGGTTAAATTTGTGTTGCACTTTTAATCAGGGTATTATATATATATATATATATATATATATATATATATTCTCCCATTCTGTTTTTTCATAACAAAAAATATTTTAATACACATAAATTTATTATATTTATTATGATGCCGAACTTGAATGGCAAATAAATAATTTTCTATGGTAATAATATTTTGAATTATTAACCATTTGCTTTATTAATTATTATTATTATTTTCCTTATACTTATGTATGAGAAATCAAGTCCAATACAAGAATACAGCCTTTACAAGTAATCATCCATTGCAAACAATATAATAATAACTATTAGGGAGCACACTATACTAATATGTACCAA